GCCACAAATTCACTGTGCGGTGCGTCATCTGATAGGGCGATTGAAACCCTGAAACGTATGAAGATCTATTGTATTTTCAGCTTCTACTACAAATTAAGGTTTGGTTCAATATTTGTGATAATTAAGGCTTTGCGCTTTCGCAGCAACCCATTTTTAGGCGAAGACAGGCTGCTGTTTACGTATCAAACTACAGGTAGACATCTGATGTGCACTTACGCATCCACCTCCTTCCCCCCACTTTCCCAGCCCACACTCCGGAACGGACCTCGCAGGATCGCAGCATTCATATGGAGGTAATCAGTGCAAATGCACATACTCGAGGCGAACATGAACGTGGGCGTTCAATAAATCAAGAATAATTTTATGACTTCATCAGGCCTCCGACAAGGTGCCATCTGATGCAGTCATTTACATCACAGGCAAGCCAGTAGGTTTCTGTAAAGGAAACGGCAAAAGTGGCTTATGTAGCCCCACTCATATACCCCTAGTCCCAGCATTTTGTCCTGTAAAGACGGTGGTTATAGAGTTTTGTGGGGTGGGAAAATAGGATAGCAAGAAGGAAATTTTTAGAAGTAAGTGTAAAGTGAAAAAAATGTAGTCGAAGTTAAAGGAAATTTTTAGAAGTAAGTGTAAAGTGAAAAAAATGTAGTCGAAGTTGCTCGCGGTCGCTGGGAGCAGGTTGTTCCGCATGTAAATTGAGGGTGTGTGCGGCGCTTCGCGCCGCGGACTATACTAATCTAACTCCAGAACGGTAAGTTTGACCACAGATAAGTTGAAGTAGACGACCTCCTTACCACCGTTTCAATTTTTTGGGAACCTCAAAAACCTGCAATTTGATAATCAGGTTTTTCCGCAATAAGTTGAATGATAATACAGATTAGGAAAATCTACAGATAAAATCCAACAACATTTCTAAATACAGTGAAATGAAAATGCATTTAGCATTTATTAAAGTATATTTCACTGCGTGTCCTAATTCCCCACCCAAAAAACCCGATAACCACCGTTTTCGTAAGAGAACATGCAGGTTGTAGGGATTAATGAGTAAGGCTACATAAGCTACTGTTGCCAAGAAAACAATTCAATGAATGAAAGTAAAAATGCCCAACGTGTGTGTGCCGCAGTATGGCGAGTGAAGGGACTGGAACATGCCCGTGAATTAGTTTATAGTGATGGCAGACTTGCGTAGCATCTCCCGCACCCTCTCCTCACTCCTCCGCCTAGGCACGGTGTCGAAACAGGCTTAATAAGACCGGAGGCGGAATCATACGCAGGGATTAACAAGGATAAACAGCCCACCTGCGCGTGCGCAAAAGACGAGGAATTCTCAGAAATGAAAATAAGGGGGCGGGGGGCTCAAATCCTACCTAAGGGTTGATCTCTTGAGGCCGTAGTAAGAAGGAGCCACTACAGCCTGACTCTTTGTCTTGATCTGAATGCCCACTTAAGCCGTCAGTTGGCTACCTGCCCACTCACGGCTTTTATCTTACCGTGATACTTTAGCAGCGAGTCCGGTGTATGCTTATGAAATTCTATGGAAAAGGATACACTGCCCCAGGCATCAATCCACGACTCCGGTATGGGCCACCATCTGATACGGCAACTGGGTCACTGAAAACTATGGAGGTCTTCTTCTTGTGTTTATCAACTTCTGCTGTAAATCAGGGTTTAGTCTAAATTTTGTGGTGATTAAGACACAGCCATTGTACTAGTTGTAACAAAAATACTTCAAACATACTTCCTGTGACCCATTTTTGGTCAGCGATTGCTGGTAATACCTCTGCATTACTGGTTTCCTGGCGATATTTTGACTGCTTCGCAAAGTTCAAGTTCTGAACTTCATACTCCAAGCATCATATGAAACGCCTGTGTTTCACCCTTCAATAAGTTTTGATAAGCGCTTTCTCTTTCCACGTCTTGTATATGTTCATTTTGAAATATCAAAGGCGAAGTGCGGCAAAGTCTCGACGTCTTCTCGTTTGCGTGTGCCATCATCGGATGAGCAGCCCAAATAAGAAGACAGTGGGGATGCATTAAATCGACAGAAACTGCAGTGTATACCTAGCATTTGAACATCAACAAAGAGTTCCCTCACAACCGCGAACGAACTCCCGTCCTTACGTAAGCCTCACCTCAAGGAAGTATTCTTACCAAAATATTCCAGTCAAGTTTAAGAAATTTATCTAAGAGCATCCATGTCAGTAACACCTGAAGATATACAATACTGTAGCCTTAAAACTTCCTACAATCGCGAACAGAAGCAATCACTATACTTCAGTTATGATATATGTATTCACATGCACTTCATTTTAAAGGTTCCAATCCAACGTTTCGACAGAACGTAAAATGGGACTGCCATCGATTAGCACGCTCCTCCCTCAGAAAATGTGACATATACCCGACTTCGAGGAAACAATACCATCGTGAGAAATTCTGATGAGATTTTAGCAATACGACTGCCAAGATAAGAAGTCAAAAGTTATTCAGTACCACTTGGACGACATGCAACAAAAACAAAAAGTTAGAAATTTGCCGTCGAAACAAATCTAAGTAATTACATGTGCCCAGGCTTCTGTTTCTAGTTTCAAGGCATATTAAATAATTCATGTTAACACTTAAGCTCTTATATAAGCACTGAGACTGCATGCCTCTGATTTTCATGAACTAGACCCATCTCCTAAATTTTGGCAGCGTGCTTTTAAACAATCCACTTTCCTTTTTCAAGAACAAGCTCATTGACTGATCCGCTCTGTGTAGGTCGATCCAGAATTTGCTCTCGAGAAACGATTTTACCTTTTTTTCAGCCGTTCCTCTGAAAAATTAATGGTATGACCGTGTAGGGATTGTGCGTAAATAAATCTCACGTAGTTTAGCTATGACTAAGAAGGCAAGCCTGTTAAATTTTGTATTCACGCATGAAAGGATTAGGTAAAAGTGCATGTTCTGATAATGCAGTTGGTTAAAATAAGCTATCTTTGGGCTCCCAACTTGTTTTTTCCAATGAAGAAAAAACACCTTCGATTGGTTTAACTGACAAAGGCAAAGGGATACGAATAGCCGTTTGTGACCTAGTCACTGCTTACTGTCTGAGCATCGCTAAAATCAATAAAAAAGCCTGAGTTCTTGAGGCTTCTGCAGTTAGTCTTCAAGCTCAATACAATGGCAGATAGATAAGAGGTCCCTGATTTGTCAGACGCGAGCTGAAAAATTGAGCGTTTAGCGAAAGCAGTACTTTCCTTTGGCTTGCTTCGAGGACCGCCTAACACTCTAGATTCGAAACATTTCTGTACTGGCACACAGGATACGGTGAAATACTTGAGACACTTTTCTACATTTTAATGATCTTATTAAAAACATTCATTGGCACTAAGTGATCACTACCTTCAACTGACTGGTGAGGCGAGGAATAATGAAACATACTATCTATTCAATTAAGACACCTGTAAATTTTTGTTCGTAGAAATTGTGGTCCAGTAGAAATGGTAATTATCACAATTATTCGTATTCGTATTTTTTATGCAAACCTGATTAACTCCTAAGCTTTATGGTGTCCTTCGAGCGTCATATAGTGTCGCATAACAGACAGTCAGATCGCTAGATCTCCCTGTCGAACTCTCCGCGTTAGACAGCTAGAGAGAATTGTGAATGATATGGTATTACTGTCCTTAATTGGCGTTAGCACAAACACGCAGACTACTCGAGTGTGAATAGTCCTGCACGTGAAAGGGCAACTCTTGAATGCGAGCTTGCGACTGTTTCATTAGAATGAGCAGTGCAGTAAAGGCGCTAAATAAGCCAGGGGGCTGATCAGGGCAAGGAAGGCGCTATTATTGCCGCGTACTCAAAAACAGACGTCTGAAACGGAATTGGTATGCATAGGTGCAGGCTTAAGCCGTGCTAGCTACCTGAAAAATGCGAAATCTGTTAATAACCGATCGCTGGCAGTCGTGTTTGTCTAGCCTAGTCAGGGAACGAGAGGCAGGAGCAGACAGATGACGACCCTCTACTGCAAGTTGAATGTTTGACAGACCACATTTAGCTTTAGGGTTTGTCGTCCAGAACTAGTACTGGAGGGGATGTAAAATAAAACGTTAACTGACACCTGCCCACAAATGGCAGAGGAAAACCTGGACCTACTTTACTACTTGGACGACAAAATTTCAAGATAAAATTAGCAAACAGAATATAAGTAGACAGGTATTAACTTACTTGAAAAGACAAATCAACCTTTGGTACTCGTTTTCGATTACGCCGTTTAATAGTTCCCTCCACCAAGTTCGAACCATTGAGAGCCTTTAATGCCAAAACGAGTTCCAAATTAGTTCTCAGTGGCATTTCCTGACCCGTGAGGTTGATGAAGTACTTCCAGTTACCCATTTGCAGCAGCGTCTTCGCTGCAATTAATTCCACCTCAAGGACGGCGAAGGTGTACCAACGAACGTTTACACTCTCCCTACGCGGCAGAACTCGCACATTTTTCCCAAAACACTTCTGCACCTCCACCGCGGCCTGATAGAATTGGTCGCTGGATTTACGATCCACATGGATGACGTAGAAATGTTGTGGTCGATAAATCATCCTTAGGAGTCGGGCGACCTGGTTTATATCCTTGTAGACGGCGATGGCAAACCCAATCGCAAATTCCTTTTCGACATCCGAAATTGATGCTGACTGGAAGTTCATCTGCCTCTTAAAAGCATTGCAACCCTCTCCTCCATTGGCATTAAACGTGAGGAAATAATCGAGTGGATGTTTCCTTACAAAACTTCTGTGTATGCTGTGTAGGTGGCGGGGAGCATTCAGTAAGGTCTCACAGTGAATAAAATTTCCTGTTAATTGAGACCAGAGGAATGAAAACTTCCAACCGATGTAAATAAATGCGCAGTTGAGTAAAGTAAGCAAAATCACAAAAATCTGGCGTTTTCTCATGTTAGATTGCCAGATTTAGAAGAACACGTTTGAGTTAATTACGGGGATTCTGCTTAGTGTTTGCTTCCTCGCCGATACCACCCAGTATAACTCGGTAATTTGCGACATTATTATTGGCTAATCTGCAAAACCAATGGGAGAATCGCAATAAAAGAAACTCTTTCCGAATAGCTCAAGCCCGCCTTTGTTCATGAGTGACGCAACACAGTTGCAAAACTGAGGCAGAACTTTGTGATTTCCACTGTTAACGCATATCCTTTTTGGCTGCGAGCCGAGTTTTAAGAATAGTGGGAACTACCATCAGCTACTGGTCTTCTTCTTAGCATGTTCGTGAGAGAATACTAGTTAAAGTCTCCATTTGGCAAAATCGTGAATACCTACTTATCGTTATGAGGTTGAGTGCACCGAAGACTAAAGGTAAAGGTGAACCACAGATTTGCTTTATGGTCAACTAATACGTCGGAGAAGGCTCATTTGGCAGCCTACATTTACTTCTGCAGCACCGTACGGTAGCCTCTTCCGCTCTCAAAATCTGCGATATAACTATCCTGCCAGCCAAATTTCCGGATCCTCCCGTCGAAAGTCCGCGGGGATAGGGGGTGATCCGGGGGTGAGGATGGGGATTTCAACCCGCACATTCCGGTCCTCACGCCATCGTCAACCCCGGATCTCCTCGTCTAAATTCCGGGAAGAGTATGCATATTATCAAATTATCCGTAAAAATAATATCAAGTGTCACCTTAAACGCGCTATAATTTCAAAAAATGAGTTAGATTGCCTTTTAGGTCCATCTGCTGCATTTTGGAAAATTTGGGTTGCAGAATAATACATATGCCTTAAACATCAACCCCGGATACACCCGCATCCCCCGTCGTCAGCTTCGCGCGGTTTTGGGCGTGTGTTGACAGGGTAACTTTCTCGGTGCCTACCCTTCCCCTTGAGTTGTATTAGAAACAAATGCTTGTAACTTTGTTTTTTCCGAAATTCATCCTCGTCACAGCCTGACTTGTCGGCTTGCCGCATTTCGATATTAGTACAGGCCTACAGTCCTGAAGGAAGTTTGTCGAAAACAGGCGTATGCTTACTACATAAATCACTTATTCTAGAAATTTTTTGTTACATTTCCACAGATTATCTAGGGACGCATACCAAAAGTTAGATATTTTAGATTTCCAGTCGGCTTCTGAAAATGCAAACGGATGGAGATTTAAATGAAATTCTACCCAATGAGATAGCCAATCGACAGTGGACGTCAAGTTGTCCCAGCTTATTTTTCACCCACTTAGTCCAGTATCCGTTAGCATCTAACTTCTCTATGGCCTCGGGACCTTGAGTGAAGTTCAGAACGATGTGGATTGCCCGCAGTTGAGAAGAAGAAGACTCGATCGCTGGGACAATATGTTTATTCGCCTGACGTTTCGGCATCCGTCGCGGATTCATCATCAGAGACTTTTATTCGCCTGACGTTTCGACATCCGTCGCGGATTCATCATCAGAGACATCACAAGGACGCAGTAGCAGAAAAGGGTAATGCATGCATAGAAATTTGCAGTATTTATAGGATTAAGTCATAACTACAAACATACAGCGACAATTAACGTTAATTGCCTTTTTGCGCGTGGGTATTTTGTCGGACGGCACGCGGGCTCTGACCTGTTGAACTTTCATCACGGGCGGTGGGCTCGGGCATGAAGATTGTTCGGCCATCTAGCTCTCCGGTGTTGGCGTAGGATGAGGCGGTGGCCTGCCAGGTTCCTCAAGTGACGACTTGCTTTGGCCAAATTGAATCTCAGCATTGAATAT